TATAATTTTTATAAATCGTAAATAAAAAAAATAATAATCTTGTTCTGAGTCTAAGTCAGGCAAATAAAGTGTTCACGTTGTGCAAAGAATTTGCCAGCGCCTGCTTATTTAAAAATGCAATTTTATTTTGCAACCACTGTGCTATCATTTTTACAGACATAGGCACTTTGCCAACGCCAGAAAATGCCGCAGTTACCTTACTGTAGACAAGACGCCGAACACAGTCGATATGCCAGCGACAAGATTCTGCATCAGACAAAAATTCAAACTTTGGTATAAAATAAAAAATGTATTTGGAGGAAACGCAAAAAGAAAAAAATAATTGCTTCAAGTAGATTGGTGGAAGCTCAGAGGGGGAGCGCTCGCCGTAAATTTCACGGATTCAACTCCAGCAAGATCAATGAAATTGTATTTTTAACTTAAGGCTTATTTGCCACGTTCTTAGCGATAAAGGAAAACATTGCGAGAAAACTTGCATATTTCTTGTCAGAGCAATAAAATATTTCGAGGACATGTGAAGCCCGCCAACACGCACTGCAGCGCACTGGATCGCTCCACAACCGGCTATGGATAACCGTACGTACGACGACGTTTTACTTTCATGCAACAATACTGTCGCCGTTATAGCTTTCGAAAGGTACACTGCTGAACATATGCTTCCTTTTGTTTTTTTTTTATAGGATAGGGTTGGTTTTGTTACCGCAGTTTTATAGAAGTCGCTAGCGCCCATTTCCTGGTTAGTTTCTCCCCGTTGCATCTTACAACACCCATGGGTCGATATGGGGTAGGCTATGCAACAACATTTTATATAATATTAGTTGGTACCCGGCGCGTTGCTGCCTCAGAAGAAACAATTGAGGAAATATCGTTTAAAATTTTTAAGTTTGAATATTTTTTAATTAGGACATTTTACATTCATTAAAATTGAATAATATATAACTTTTAAATAAATTTGTCGGTACGATACGCACGCCACCTACTTTAATTTAATTGTACTATGCCTATAACCTTTGCGCAAGTGCCAGCAATAAGTTGATAAAGTTTTGACGCAATTTGATGAACGTTATGGCAGGGCATAAAATACGAACAAACAAAAATTAATTTTTATATATTAGATTGTTAAAAATATTGCATATACTTAGTAATTTCTACTACTATCTATAAGTTCCTTCAAAAAAAATTAATCATAGTTAGTGAAGACATTTTCTCGTCCATTGACAAAATACACAACGCAAAGTAGGGGAGTAAAATGCTCCATCTGGAGGTGAGTGTCATAACCATTACAAAACAAATGAAAAAATCGCTTATAAAAAAATATCCTTTATAAAAAAAAATTCAAACAAAGATGGCTACAGATGTATGGTTTTCTGACGACTTGAAGGAATTTCTATAAGCCTGTAATCATACTGACTTTCTTACATTTAAAACCGGAACACAGTTTTCGCATTAGCATTCGGACTACAATTAAATTACCTATTTATAATATTACTTATATACATGTGCCATGTACTCGTGGCGTAATAGATTCCATTACCCATTGCACACCGTGGGTGTCGTAAATGGAGACTATGGAATATTCCAGAAGGATCTCATGGCTTCCAATAGTTTGCGGTACAACTATATCGTTTACACTTGGTGTAAAATACACAAACTGGCAACGGGGATCAGCGTTCAATTTTCTAGATGTTGGGTAATACGACCTCCAATCCGCCTTTCAAACGTGGCGATTAATGGAAATCCTCCCTACGACTGGGGAGGCTCAAGCCCAGCTGTGGACTTCTATGAACTGATGAGGAACAATATATTGCATAGGCACAGTCATTTTATCGAACAAAAATTGATTGACGCTCAAGATGATAAGATATGAAATCGTGGATTGTTAAGAGTGGTTTGTATATGATAATTATATTGAATATAATTAATTTATCTTCATATATACATCAATAAACATAAATAAAATACAAATTATAAACTAATGAAATTAAAGCATAAATAATAGAGTTATTTATGTTTATAAACATAATAAAAAATTAAAGGAAAAAAGTGTATTACAAAATTATTAAAGCTTAACTTAATACTTGCTAAATCGCCGCCATCTGTTAATAGTGTGCCCAGAAGACTGACTGAGTTGCTCGACTGACAAAAATTATCTGCTAGCTTTTGGGTCACCAGAGACAATGGCAAGGCATGATGAGATATCTCTGTACAATCGCCTTGCTTCACGATCCCACAGCAGCAACCGCAAGATGTGGTAGCGCTGATGTGTCATGTGCTCCATGGAATGAGCGTCATTCCATCAGGCCTCTTGCCATCGTCCCGCAATATACCGCTTGGCTCCAAAATTGCAGGTACGTTGGCGCTGGTTAAGGCCCGTCGAACGACATTAATAATGGCTGCATAGCGAGGAATGCGATCAGCGCTCCGCTGGCACGCCAGGCCGTGGTAACTGACAATGTCGACCTCTTTACCACAGCTGAAGCGATGGACCTTATTGGGTTTTAAATCTAATCTCAGACTGATACGAGTAGCATGACAGAAAGTAGTACTGTTCAAGAGTGTTCTTATATTTGATTAGGGCAGTGCATTAAACCAGTAGCCCGAGTCCTTCTCCACAGATGCTAGGAGACGAGTTTGCTCTGTACTGTTTCCGCAGTTTTCTAATAGATGCATAGGCACTAGTCGTAACAATTCGCACACGGTGTAATATACGCGACCGGTTTAGACCGAGACCTCATCGAGCGTAGGTGGACAAGTAGCCGGTGAGCGGTGTCCCCGCGGCTGCCGCAGTCAGCACAACACGGTGCAGGTGAACTACCCCTTTCATCCGCACTCAATGCCGATATATGATGACGTGATTGTGAAAACAGTTGGTGCATTGTGGTCAAATAGTTGTTGCCTTGCGGTCGATGGAGATAAGAGGCTCAAGGCAGACGAACTCGCATCTCAATAACCTTTAATAGATTAAAGTGAGAAGCGATCATTATTACAAAGTTACAGCGAGGATACAACTTCCTCAAAGCCATCAAATGGAGAGCTTTATCCAAAGTGTCTTTATAAGGAAAGTTAAGTTAGCCGCAGTTAAAACTCTAAATTGACCTCATTGGTTAGATCTCAGACACTAAATGGCGATATTCAAAATCGTCAGTAAATTACAGGTCCACCCTTATTTATATTTTATACTAATTATTTTATATCTTCTTTTGATTAGCGTTTAAATTTGCACACACACACACACACACACGCGCGCACGCACGCACGCACGCACGCACGCACGCACGCAGGCACGCACGCACGCACGCACGCACGCACGCACGCACGCACGCACGCACGCACGCACGCACGCACGCACGCACGCACGCTCGCACGCACGCACGCACGCACGCACGCACGCACGCACGCACGCACGCACGCACGCACGCACGCACGCACGCACGCACGCACGCACGCACGCACGCACGCACGCACGCACGCACGCACGCACGCACGCACGCACGCACGCACGCACGCACGTACGCACGCACGCACGCACGCACGCACGCACGCACGCACGCTCGCACGCTCGCACGCACGCACACAAACACTCACGCCTGTCACCCAGAGGGGTAGGCGGAGACTACGGACTTCCATTTGGCGCGATCCTGACACACCTCTCTCGCCTCCTTTACATCCATATATCTACGCACATACGCTCGTCGGTTAAGGGTATTCAGTCATTCAGATTTAGCCCTAGCATACTCCTTAAGGACCGCATTTCTACAGCATTTGCTTTTTTAACTATATTATATTTTTCTCGCTATGTACTGGCAACATAGAAGCATCCACCACCTCATATCCTCCCGTGGGCGTCGTAAAAGTCGACAGAAGGAAATAAAGTAAAATACATTTTTCTTATAACAACTTAAGATAATAAAAAACTGCGGTTACCAATCCGCCTGCTATGGCGAGTGTCCCCACTATGAGGCAATTTATGGAAGATTCCTGTGTTCAGGAGTGTACTTTCAATAGGCTGTATGGAATGAATTGAATTAAATGTTTTCAATTACACTTTCATCGAAACATTTTACTTGTACAATGTATTCAATATTATTGTGCAATCTAATTGTGCAGCACAGTACAAATAAATAGGGTCGACGAGAGAAGGACAAAGTTTGCAGTAAATACCAACATTTTATGTTACCATAATGTTGATGTTTCGTAACGATATTCGAAGACTTCAGTAAAATTAGGTATTTCATCATAGCCCCAGGCGAGCATGTTCCTTCCCCGGTGGACCCGACTTATTCGTACTACAGATGAGATCACGTCAAGATGCGATGAGTCAGCAAATGTCGTATTTAACCTTTAACCGCACGGGCGGGGTCTGGCCAGACCCCACGTGGTGTTTTTTAACGGTTAATTTTTGACATTGACAAGTAACGGTCGCGCGCTTTCGTCTAATTTCAGTGCGGTGCTGAGTCTCTCGACGGGTGGACGTACGTCGCGCTTTCGCTAAGGTAAATACGTAATTTACCTACTTGGGGATCCCTGTAGACCCCTTCCGTGCTTTTACGTAGTATAAATTTTCGATATGATTATTTTTATTCTTGCTTCTTTTTCAGAGTTAAGAGTTGTAAAACAGAAAAAATGAGTCGTCAACTCTCAGAAAATGCCATAGTACAAATCCTTGAGGATTGCAGTGACTCTGAGAGCGAAGAAAAACAAGAAATTTCAGAAGACGAGGCTTACATAAGCGATCAGGAAACTGTATACAGTGAACATGATTCTACGTCCGAAATAGAGCAAAGTGACGACTCCTCCGCAAGTCAATCTGAAGAGGAAACAATAAGAAAACGTTCGATGACTGTAATACACGGGAACAAAGAAAAACAACAGACAAGTTAGCCTTGATAAGTGAATTTTTCGATAAATTCATCCGTAACTGTCGTGAAAATTATTCTTGCACTGAATTTTTATGTGTTGATGAAATGTTGGTGAAATTTCGAGGTAGATGCTCGTTCAAGATGTTTATCAAAAGCAAGCCCGGAAAGTATGGACTGAAAGAGCAATGTTTGTGCGACGCAAGATCTCGATACTTGTACAATGCATTTATATACACAGGAAAACCTCTAACTCAAAGAAATTCTTCACTATCAGTGCCAACTCAAGATGTTCTACAGCTTACTGAACCGTTATATGGATCACACAGAAATGTCACTGGAGATAGTTGGTGTACTTCTGTGGAGTTAGTGGATATTCTCTTACAAAAAGGACTAACATATGTTGGCACACTGCGGAAAAACAAGAGAGAAATTCCACTAGAATTTCTACCTAACAAGACAAGGCCCCTGGAATCATCATTATTCGGATTTGTAAGTGACAAAACATTGGTATCACACGTACCAAAAAAAAACAAGAGCGTAGTTCTACTTTCTTCTATGCACCATGACATGTCAGTAAACGAGCAGTCTAAAAAACCGGAAATAATAGAATTGTATAACAGCACCAAAGGAGGTGTAGATGCCTTGGATTTGAAGTGTTCAAATTATTCATGTGCACGTCGAACACGAAGATGGCCTAACGCAATGTTTGGTGCTATAATGAACATTTCAATTGCAAATGGTTATGTTCTCTGGGTTCTATCTAATCCGAATAAAAAATTGAGCCGTCGTAACTATATAAAGTCTATTGCAATGACTCTTATAAAGCCACATATTTCCCAGAGATGGGAAAATAATCCTACCTTGACCAAAGATATAAAAGCAATAATGTGCAAGTTGATTGACAAAGAGCAGCCTTTGGTTGATTCGGATGAAGCTGGCCCTAGTGCCCCAAAAATGAAGCGTAGATGCTTTATTTGCCCAAGGGCTAAAGACAAAAAGAGTACTATTGTTTGCAAATCTTGCAAAAAAACTATTTGCAAGCCTCATTCAATAGCAATTACTTACTGTTTACCATGCCAACGCAAAGATTAATTTTTAACGTTACTGCTCCATAGCAATATTGAGGCGTTGTCATTTTTTTTGTTTCTATGTTTATTTTTATTTTTTGTTCAAATTACATGCTTCTAGTTCCTATATTATAGAAAAATAATAATAAGTTTCTCAGAAGTTGTTTATTTTGTAAAATTATAACGTATTTGTTAAGTGCCTTGAAAATATTCTAAGTACGAGTGGTTAATTTTTTAAATGTTTCTCATTATCAAGAGACTGACTTTTTTAAGAATAATAAATACTTTTTATAAAGAATTTTGTGCCTTTTCTTATAATCTAAAAGCTTATTTTAAAAATGTAAAAAATATATGGCAAATATTTATGGGGATACCTCAGGACCCCGCCCGTGACGGAACGGTACCAAAAATAACGCGTGTAGCTAAAGGTTAACGTCGGCAGATGCGTCTGACACCAATCTGTTTGCTGGTGTTTTTGTGGCATTCAACAAAGTGTTTCAGCACGAACGCACGGCGCGACGTCTGTGCACACGTCCGACGACGCATCAGTGATATAGGAGTTGCGAGTTACATTTATTTTTACTCTCACAGTCAAGTAGTAGTTAAACGTACTAAATAAATAAATAGCTGTGGCAGTTACGGTCCCAAAATATATATTTTTTTTAATTTTGTGTGCCTGCGAGTTGCGTCTATCGAGAATTAACACAGGCTGAACGACTTACAGACGTGTGGACGGCACGTGCTGCTTTATCTGCTGACGCATCTGTCGACATGTAAAGGAGGCATTACACGAGGAGTCCACCTGCCAGGCGCTCGCCTGTAACGGCAGAGATCCTTGTTCAGCAATTATATTTAAGGGCTTATTAAGGTGAAATGTAATTAATATATAAAAAACCGATGTGGAAAAAAGGTTCTCGAGTGGCAGCATCGAGCCGAGTAGCGAAGTGCAGAACGGACTCCAGTAGATGGTGCGACGACCTGATAACAGATGCAGATACCTCTGCGTTTCCCTTGGTGAGTGCAGGTGGCCGAAGGCTCTTTTTACTTGAAATGAGGCATTCCATCTTAGTCCTCACGGGTGACAACGCATCTAAATTTTGATTTGTAACAGAGGATAGATGTAGATGTCTATGGGCCGCAGCAACCACTTACCATCAGGTGGAATGTGTGCTCGTTTGTCATCCTTATCCTATAAAAAAAAATCGATGTATTCAGGTGGTTTAGTACTGCGCTTTGTAATTTTCCTTGGACTAATGTTACGCTAATGTAAACGCTATGTGGACTTGTGATTAGTTTTTTTTACAAAACGGAAGTGACAAACCAATTAACATACCACCTGATGGTAAACGGCTACAGCAGTCCAAAACCTTCTTCAGTCTAAGAAATCTACAGAATCGTTTTCATCTCTGAGTACTAAGAAGTAATTTCCCACTGACTGTAATCACACTGGAGAACTTGTATCTACAATTACAGTCAGGCAATTTTCAAAATGTAATAATTATCTTATAGAGGACAACACTCTTCAAGCCACAACAAGGCAGCGCAAGCACTATTATTTGGTATTAGAAATAGGTTAGAGAGATGCTGAAAGAACAAATAAAATGTGACTCTTAATATCAACTTCATTTACTGACAACTGCTATTAGAATAACGGGCAGCTGGCAACGCCATTCGTTGAAACATAAAATCCAATAATATTTAGATTGCGCATAATAATAACCACTTTCCATTCGTCCTGAGCCCAATATTTTCACCCTATATAACTGTTATGTGATTCACAAATTTAGTTTAACTTATTATTAAAAAAATGAAATTGAAGTACATAAATGTTTGTAATATTAAAATAACTGGCTTTTATCAAGCTCAGAGTGACATTTGCATGCTATTAAAACCTAATAATTAAACATTTTTTTTTTAATTTTGTCTCTGTACGTCCGAGCTAATCTTCGGAATATAATACCAACGTCAAATAGCTACTTGCAGGCATGAAGTTCCAGAGTAATGTTGCTTGAATAGTTGGTGGAAGGAATTGTTGGTGAACCCAGTTAAATGAGATGGTATGCTAATCTTATGAGTAGATAAGAAACGAAGAACCTTATCATGAGTTGAAAAGCGATACTGGAATTTATCCTCTAAATATGTTGAAGAAATTGAATTATTCAAAATTGAGAAAAGACCAAGCAGAATTCTAGAGTTTCGTCTTTGTTGGATAGTGAGTTATTTTATGCGAGAGATGTGTTTATATTTTCGCAGACCAAATATACAACATGTAACAAAAACCCTGTGGTTCCCGTTAAGTACGTTATCGTATCGTATCGTATTCAAACGTATAGAAATAACTTTTTTTTAAACTCGACCATTTTTTATTTTATTAAAAATTTCTCTTTTTAATTTTATGTAGTTTTATTACCTCTTACTGACACTAGTCGATGCTAAAGCTAAGTAAAGCGGGGTCTTTGACAATCATCTTACTCTCCAGACAATGCAGAGGTAATAAAACCACATACAATTTTCATACAATTTTTTTAAATAAAATAAAATAAATTATTATTCGATTTTTTAAAAAAAAGTTATTTCTATACGTTTGAATACTGATCCTGATAACGTACTTAACAAGAACCACAGGGTTTTTGTTACATGTTGTATATTTAATACAATTATTGAGAAGACGCTCCAGCATGTTAAGAAGATTTTGGTTCAAATCTGGATAGTATTTATTTGAGCATTTTATGTTTAGGCTAGAGGTTTTTTTGTGGTATTATTTATAATATATTTATGGTAGTTCATAAGCCGTGTAGTGGCGGTCAAGAATATCCACTACCCAATATCCTCCCGTGGGTGTCGTAAAAGGCGACAAAGGGAAACAGGCAGGAGATGGGCAGCAGCATCTTCCTGATAATAGTCAAATTACAATAAAAAAAAACTGCGGTTGCCAACCCGCTCGCCAAGCGTGGCAACTATGGCAAATAACCCCCCTATGAATGACAGTAACAAAAAAACGGCCCCCAGTCCCCGGCGGCCCCGCTATTCCTGGCTACGGTGGCGACCATGGTAACGGCGGGGCAGGGGGTGCTAAGAATCTCCGGTGGAGGTTCGGTTGCCACCTTAGACGACTCGACCTGGCAACGTACAACGCACGCACCCTGAGGACTGACGAGAAGATCGTGGAGCTGGAAGAAGAGATAGACAAGTTGCGCTGGCATATTATAGGATTATCCGAAGTCCGAAGAGAGGGGGAGGACACGGTAATCCTCGAATCCGGCAACTTGCTCTATCACCGGGAGGCCGACCATCTGTCCCAAGGAGGTGTCGGATTTATCGTCCACAAGTCTCTCGTTAACAACGTTGTAAAGATCGGGAGTGTGTCGACGAGGGTTGCGTACCTTATACTCAGAATCACCAAACGGTATTCGCTGAAGGTCATACAGGTTTACGCACCAACCTCGGCACACCCCGATCAGGAGGTGGAGGAAATGTATGAGGATATCTCTAGAGCCATGCATTCCTCCAAAACCCAATATACGGTGTTAATGGGAGACTTCAATGCAAAACTAGGCACAAGAGAGAACGGTGAGCTGAAAGTAGGGAAATTTGGAATAGGGCAACGGAACCCAAGGGGCCAGCAGCTGGCCGACTTCATGGAGAAAGAGGGACTCTTTATGATGAACTCTTTCTTCCAGAAGCGGCCCCACAGGAAATGGACCTGGTCGAGCCCCGACGGTTCGACAAAAAATGAGATTGACTTCATTATGACGACCAGACGACAACTGTTCAGTGATGTCTCCGTGATCGCGAGGGTGAAAACTGGTAGCGATCACCGAATGGTTAGAGGCACACTGAACCTAAACGTTAAGTTGGAGACGTCTCGTCTAATGAAGTCAACGCTCCGTCCCCCTCGTACTCTGTTCCAAAGTCCCGAAACCTTTCAGCTCGAGTTATAAAACCGTTTCCAGTGCCTAGAAGACTGCAATGAAGTGGACGATATGAATGACAAGCTCGTGGAAACTGTCCATGCGGTCGGAGCTAAGTTCTGCAAGACCGGCAGCAGAAGAACACAAAAACTCTCCGATCACACTCTTAGTCTCATGGCTGTTAGACGGGAGATGAAGCTACATTCTTCAACAGACTTGACAGCATACAGGCATCTGAACAGACAGATCTCCAAATGCATGCGGCGGGACTTACGCAACTTCAATACAGCTAGTATTGAAGAAGCGATAGAGCGGAACCAAGGCTCCTAAGTCTTTGCCAGAGATCTGTCTGCCAGAAAGAGCCAACTGTCAAAGCTAAAGACGGAATGTGGCAGCATCGCTTCCGGGACACCTGAGATTTTGAGTGAGATTGAGAGGTTCTATGGGCAGCTGTACACGTCAACGTTGGAGCCACACGCAAGTGTGAGTAACGATCCAAGAGCGAGTCTCATCCGACACTATTCCGAAGATATCCCGGACGTCAGTCTGAGCGAGATTAGAATAGCTCTCCAGCACCTTAAAAACGGTAAGGCCCCAAGCGAGGATGGAATTACAGCGGAGCTTCTGAAAGCGGGTGGAAGACCGGTACTTGAAGTCCTTCAGAAGCTCTTTAATCCCGCCCTCCATGGTGGCATTACACCGGAGGCGTGGAGCAGAAGTGCGGTGGTCTTGTTCTTCAAAAAAGGTGACAACGCTCTCTTGAAGAACTACAGACCGATTTCCCTTCTGAGCCGCGTCTACGTGCTGTTTTCGAGAGTCATTACGAATCGTCTCGCTCGCAGACTTGACGACTTCCAGCCTCCCGAACAAGCCGGTTTCCGAAAGGGCTTTAGCACCATAGACCACATACATACCCTTCGGCAAGTTGTACAGAAGTCCGAAGAGTACAATTTGCCACTATGTCTGGCGTATGTGGACTATGAGAAAGCCTTTGATTCCGTCGAAATTTGGGCGGTGCTGCAGTCCCTTCAGCGGTGCCAAGTTGACTGTCGGTATATCGAAGTGTTGAAGTGCTTGTACAGTAGGGCTACGATGGCTATCCGAGTACAGAACC